GGCCGAATTCGACCTCTTTAAATGAATTTGAACATCAAGGTTTAGAACCGTCCATTCTGACTTTTGTTTTTTTCCAAGTCTACTTTATTACGAAAGCGCTCAATTAATTTTCATTTATTAACTATCTACTCTGTAAAGACTGTAGAAAGGAATAGTCGATATTTTGTAAACTTACTCGCTCTATGTCCATCTGCCTAATATTTTCATATTACTGCCATTAGATTTTAAACATACAACACTGAACAGCAGGTGTCTTTCTTCACTAGATAATTATAACACTGTTAAGTCCAATGGAAGTAATATATGCTATATTTAAAAGGTTAAGCTATTTACTATTAATACTATCTTGAATTATTATTCGATAAAGTACTGTCAATTATTATTAATTTTTGTATTAGTGACTTTAATCCCAGTTGCTTTATTTACACTTTTAGTATTAGTATTTTCTCCTCAACTATGGGTTAAATAACATGGTGGAATTGATTGTCTACACTTGGGTAGAAGCTCGCCTAGAAGGGGATAATTCTGAATTCTAAACTACACTGTACTTTCTAAGAATTAACAGATAATAAAGAAACGGAATTTGTGGAGAGCCATGATCATCAGTGTGCTGAAAAGTCATAACATTTAACAAAAAATATCTTGAATTTTATCAGATGTAATATTGCCAACTATTTTTAATATTCGATGAGTATTTATTTTATTTTAATTTCGGTTGCATTATTTACACTTGTAATATTGGTAATAGAAATACATTCCTGAATTTTAATTGGATGAAGCATTGTCAGCCATTATTAATATTTAACTCGTATTTCTTTAATCTTAATTTTAATTGCTTTTCATTTAAATTATTCAGACCATCATTGTACGACCTGTAGTAAAAAATCGTTGATCAGAAATAAACAGAGAATAACTAATAAAAAAGCGATTCGATATCTATTCTAGATTTGCTCTATTTACTAATGACAAGAGCATAACTGTCTGAGTAGTTGCTATGAAAAGCAGTTGAAATTAAGATTTAAAAAATGAAGAAATTAAACATATTTAATCGTTTCTATATAATCTTACTCTTTTGAACATGTAGACGTTTGCCGGTTGAAGAGTCACAATAATTCAACACCAGGGATAGACAACTCGTCATTTGAAGTTATTTTTCAGATCCCTCAACTGCAATTGGTAGATATGGTAGGATAATTATAGCGGTGGTAATCCACAACACACAATAAAAAAGATCGTGACGACGCAACAGATTTTGTGCACAAGTCTTTGGGGACTTGTGCACAAAGCAACCCATTTTCTTTAAATAAAACCGCCTTTTCCTATTAGGAACGATATTTTTCTCTCTTTTTTTTTTTTTTTTTTTTTTTTTTGTCAGGGAGATCACGATTGTTTCCTCATGATTTGAGTCCCTATGACAAAAAATATATAAAAATAAGGATAAAAAAAAAGTCGGTGATGGAAATACCAAGTGTCAGTGATTTAAAATTTTAAACGACTCTGACACATGACCGGATGAGAAAATGATTACCATTAAGCATTGACAAACCACTCTCTCTTTCTCTCTCTCTCTCTCTCCCTGTCTCTATTTCTCTCTCTCTCTATTTCTCTCTTTCACAAACTCTCTTTCTTTCTCTCTCACTCTTTCTCTTTCCTTTTCTTTCTCTCTCGCACTCTAGTACTCTGTCTAACTTCCTATTTCTTTCTTGTCTCCATCCACACTCTTCCGTTTATACAGCGCTGTGACGCTTGTGCGTTTCTTCCACTGAACCAGTGTATGAGAATTTTCTATACTATTCAACCCAGGAATCAAATCACAAAGGGAACCAGATATGTTTTAATCAAACGCTTCAATCTGTTAAACCAAGCGTTTGTGTATTGAATAAAGGTTTCGGTTTGAAATTCCAAGGTTACCGAATATGGCGGATGCCCGGAGTTAGCAAGAGAACAGTGCGTATAACAGCCAGTAATCGAAATATAATGACGATTCTTCACCTAAAAAAAAAAAAAATGAAAAAAAAAAAGAAAAGAAAAACGAAAAAGAAAAAAAAATCATCATAAATAAGGAAGTATACATAATTTTGCTTTCTTAGTTTTTTTTATTTATTTATATATATTTTTTTCATATAATACTAATGAACAAAGACGGTTTCTTATTACCAATAAAATGGTGTCAAGAAACTAGAAAAAGTCATGAAGGTCCAATGGAAAAGTCTGACTAGAGGTATCGTTTCATTTCAATAATAGTTTTACGCAAAACGCAAACCTCTTCGTTAATTTAATAAATTCAATCATCAATGAATGCTTTGTCCAGGACTAAACTAAAGCTACGATATTTCGTTAAGAAATAACACTTAAATGAGATCAAAGGTAGATAACTCTGTGGTCACACACATTTAAGGAACTCTAAATAATACTGCGAATAATAAATAAATAATAATAAATAATTTAATATATTTCGCTTCACGGTTATGACTTCTCTGTTAAACTTGGCTAAATTTAACGACTATTTTTTTTTTACTATAATGTTCACCGTGTACAAGACTCAAGAGCCACTCGAGGTAGATGGTTACATATTAAGAGGTACAGTTTATGGGGATATGTGGAAAAGGTAACGGTTGACCCTAGTTATGGACAGGTTAGGATTATAGTGATCGGGGAAGCATCCTCTTGGGAGCCAGTTCGGCATTGATTCATTTGAAATGTATATATTTTAATAAAATAAATTATCTCAATGGTTAAAGTAAAGCACAATTTAAAATCGAATTAAGAAAAATTATTGCGGAACCTTGCCAGCAAGTCAACTTTCATCGTTAGACCATAAGTGCCAGGTCTTGGTAAACGGTGAACGGAAGCATCCTCTTCATAGTATGTTTCACAACGCAACGCTTCGTAAGAAGAAGCTGCTCGTGTGAACCTTACATCCTTACATGGAATACGAACGGAATGAGGGTGGTTTGTTACAATGTGCGAGGCAGGGTGTGTCTTAGACGTGAAAGTCAGAACTGGTGGAACTAAGGAATATAGTTCGTTGCGATTTTTCGTCTGTGGGAAAGGGGTTGTAGGGTGGAAAGTAATTCATCACCCACAAGGACGCGGAAAGTCTTTTAGACTCTATCGAAACTGGATAGTGAAGACGGGACAACTCTTGCCCGGATACGGCAGTACTCCATTGCCGGCCGGATCTGACTCTTGTAGAGGTAGAGGAGCACAAGAGAGAAACAGGGGATTTTTTTTCCGGATCTTTAGCAATGGATCATATGTACGAGTTCCACTTGAGATCTGGGTTGAAATTCAGCCCCAATAGGCGCTCAATGCAGAGGCAAATATCTTTCTAAGAAACATAGTCAGTTATATGCCATACCTGATACACGCGTAGGCGATCACGTATCTTTCAATACATGATTGACGAGGCAGATTTTTTTCCGCAGTTGGTTGCCATTTCTTTCTGCGGTAGACCAGTTGCCATCCAAGGCTATAGAACCTGGTCTATCCTGCTATTTGTCCATAGCTGGGTGAGGAGAAGAAGAATTAAGATATATAATTACTTTACGATTTTTTTTTCTAAAAAAGCCAAACAGTAGTTCAGTAAATAGCCTCAATCCAACCCTGGGATTATTCTGGATTAGACTAAACTACAGCTGGATATATTCTTGTAGAGGGATAATCTTGACTGCTAGACCGTCTTATTTAATCTTAAATGTTAATCTTAAATAGTGACAAGAAACCGTTGCTATACTGCTATTACAGTTATCAGAAAACTGTATAAGCATTCGTTCTCAATGTCACCAAAACAACACTGTCCAAAATTGCCCACTTTAATATTAGCCCTAAAGAATAATATCAAAGCAATGATCAAAGTCGATAATTTTTCAGTACCCCTATATATATATAGAGAGAGAGAGAAAGAGAAAGAGAGATAGATAGATAGATAGATAGAGAGAGAGAGGGAGGTTAAACATATTTGGCTTTTATACAATGTATTAGTGATAGCGCTTATACATGATTAGTTCGTACATAGGATCAACATTGTATAGTTAATGGAAACTTCTTGCTTCACTGCGGTCTTTAGACATGGTGTGAAGACCGTACTGAAGAGTGAAACTGAGAGTCACCATACAGCGTCAATTACTATAGCGACATTTTTTCTCTCTCTATATATATATATGTATATGAGCCTCTGTGTGTGTCTGTCTGTGTGTGTGTGTGTGTGTGTGTGTGTGGGCGTGCCTTCCCTAACATTCACCGCTCGATGAAACCAAAGTCAATACACGGTTAGGTACGTGTAGGTACAGACAGAAATGTCCTTCGGTCTTGTCCTTGGTATGTCACAGGCTTCAAGTAATACACCGATCTCACGAATTTAAGTTTAGCGGAGGCTAGGGGAGATAAATCATAAGACATTATAATATTGTAGATGACCAAAAAAATCCTGTGCATATATTACAACTTATTAGATTTTAAAAATTTTTTTTTTTTTTTTTTAAAATACATGTTTTTAAAATAGATTTTATTTTTAATTATATATAGTATAAGACTTTTTTTTGTTGGACCTTAACTGACTTTTTCTACTTACTTATTTTAGGATTTTCGACGCGGTTTCCAGTTTTGCTTCCTGGTCGAAACTCGTGGGTACGAGAGACGATGATTTTATTGATCGGCTTAACCACATCTACACTGTGATAATCCTTATTATATTCTCAATGGTCGTCACTGGAGGAACATATATTGGCAAAGCTATTTCATGCTGGATCCCCGTGGAAGCTAAAGGTCGTGAGGATTATGTGGAAACTGTATGCTGGACAGGACAAACCTACCATGTAAGTCACCAAGATAGTCTACATGATGGAAAGAAAGCTGTCATTCACTATTACCTATGGGTGCCTATCATTCTTTTATTCCAGGCTTCTATGTTCAAGATTCCGAACATTTTATGGCACATGAGCAATAGGGGGTCAGGCATGAATCTTGATAAGATAAGCACCCTGTCTGAAAAGACCCAAATGGAATCGGAGTCGGACCGTAATGAAACCATTGAGCATATTGGCAATTATATTAACCGTTGGATTATGGCTAATCAACGACGAAGCAAGAATATCTTGTCTAGATTTCGACCACGACGAGGAGCTTACATGACCACCATTTTCTTCCTGATGAAGCTTCTCTATTGCGTAAACGCAATCTCACAGTTCTTTATTCTTGGACTCTTGCTCAAAATCGACTTTGCCAAATATGGCCTCAAAGTCTCTTCCTACGCTCGGAGTGACACCGTCATGATGGATGAGTATATCTTTCCTCGGACGGTATACTGTGACTTCCAAATCAGACAGCTGAAAAACAACCCGATACTGACTACGCAGTGTGTACTACCAATAAACGTCCTCAACGAGAAAGTGTTTATATTTTTGTGGTTCTGGCTCTGCCTCGTTTCTACCCTGTCTATTATTAATCTAATCCAGTGGATATACCGAATACTCTCCAAGCGTTCATATGTCAGCTACATCTTCCGTTACATCAACATTCACGAACAATCGCTAACGAAAACGGACAAGAAGAGTTGCAGACAATTTGCAAACGATTATTTGAACAGTGACGTCATTATGTTATTGCGCGTTGTCGGCAAGAATTCCACAGATCTTGTAGTGGCTGATCTCCTCGGATACTTATGGAGAACCTACAAACAGAAATTCCCGGATAATGCCGAAAAGATATTACCAGTGTAAAACTGATTAGGACTCGGCAATTCATAGCCAAAAAATAGAAAAGAAAGATACATAACACACGTGTACATATATATATATATATATATATATATATATATATATATATATATATATATATATATATAAGCACAGAAATCAAAATTACAAAGTGGTTGTACGCTTCACATTTTTGATTTGTGTGTCCACCCTGTTTATATCTACAAATGCTCTGTCTGCGATATTGAGCACTCTTATAAATATAGCACATTTCAAACAATATATTTTTTATATAATATACACATACACACACACACACGCACACACACATACACACACACACACACACACACACACACATATACATATATATATATATATATATATAATGCAACGAGCGAATATTTATTCTTTCTGTTTTTTTTCTTTTTTGTCGAACACCAAATTTGTTAATTTTTATAACATCGATAGATTGATACAAATGCAGGTAGATAATACAAACATTACACACACACACACACACACACACACACACACACATATATATATATATATATATATATATATATATAGATAGATAGATAGATAGATAATATTAGTGGTAAATATACACATACATATGCAAACATATATCTAAAATATATAAATATATATACATACATACATACACATACATATATATTTGTATAAAAAATAAATCCAAGAGGATAGAATCCAGGTAGAAGTCAATGTCTGGGAAAGAGTAAGGATATAATAAAAAGGCTTAAACACTAATACATATATATAATATATATATATATATATATATATATATATATATATATATATATATATATATATATATGCATAGTTCTATCAAAATACATATATATATATATATATATATATATATATATATATATATATATATATAGTTCTATCAATCTATCGATGTTATAAAAATTAACAAATTTGGTGTTCGACAAAAAAGAAAAAGAAAAAACAGAAAGAAAAAATATTCGCTCATTGCATTTTAAGATAAACTTATTAGGAAATCAGTCGTTGTAATTAGAGTGCCCAATATCAAGAGATAGATCATTATTAGTAAGAAATGTAATTTAATGTCACACTTATCTGTCTCTACTCTGAGTTTGCCGGATATTACATCCACTCGTCACGGATCTTGACTGATTTAAAATCAGATATCCCTGATGATACGACGCAATTTCCCCGAAACTCAGAGCAGGGACAAATAAATTAACATTTAATTTTATTTGTTACTCCAACATTTTCTTTCTCTCCCCTATCTATCTATCTATCTATCTATCTATCTATCTATATATGGAGGATTGTGATATATAAAGTATATATATCACACTAATTGTGGGTAATTGAATGACAAAATAGATGATGAAAACAAAATCTGTAAAAGGCTGAATAAGTTCACCTAATTTAGTTAAGTATACTCGTATATTCAGCCTTTCTCTAAAATTTAGTTATAAACGATATTTATCGTACTTCGTGCCCTCCCATTATATATATATATATATATATATATATATATATATATATATATATATATATTATTCACTTAGTTAAAACATTATTTATTCTAAAGAAGTCTTTTTCGAAGAACGAAATACGGCATATAGGACTTTTCTCATTTTAGTCATTCAGTTACTTGCCACACACACACACACACACACACACACATATATATGCATTGACAGTAAATAAAATTGCAACATGCTGAAGGACAATACACAGTATATTAATATCGAGTTAATATACTGTTAATATACCGCCACTTTTTGAACTTATGCACGTATGATCTATATATATATATATATATCAATGATCAATATATATATATATATATATATATATATATATTATATATGATCATTTACCGTAATCCATTTATATTACAATGTGTAATGGAGAGTATGAAAATGGCTAATATTTCGTTCAAATTTTCCTTTTGCGACCAGGATAATGATATCTTTGAAATTTACGTATTTGCTTTGGGAAAACTGGCGAATGTGAACAGTCTCGTTCACACTAAGTAGCAACAAAATGACATATGATTCAAAAGTAGCATTTATTTATTCTAGGATTACCAAAGAAAACCACAAAAGATTTAGAAGTCAACGATTACTTGTCTGAAGTAAACTGAACTGTTGTGATTACGATCCCTGTTATTTATACTGCCAGCTATGGTGCCAGAAGGTTCTAGAAATTCTTGAAACTTTTAAAGACTTCTCGAAAGTTCTTGAAACTTCCAAAATATTCTTGAAAAATATCCTTCAGAAACTTGGCGTGAATTTGTCTGAACTGTACTGCGAAATAGGTTAGTTTGAAAAGATCGATGCTCTGGTCACAAAACAAAGTTTGAAAGAAATAATAGTCATTTGCTTTGCTTTCTACATAGAAGCAATTAGAAAATAATACTTACTGCTCAAAGACAAAAAAAATTGTTACACCGGTACGTTTAATATCGTGTGAAATGAATTGCATATTCAGACTGTTGCAATTTTTTTTCTATCAGTCAATAATTTTTAAATATGAATAGCGGAGGTCAAGATGAACGAAAAATAAACGGTACATGTGGGTTATCTGTTGCCACTTTTAAAATTAATTTTACAGCTTTTTCACAAATACACATGTGAAAAATATACTGTCACAACGATTCATTTAGCAGTCTAAAAAATTAGAAAATTAAGTAAAAAACAATTAAAAAACACTTTGAATACCATATCTTACTTTATAAAAAATCACCAATGCGTAAATTAAAACCCGGCAACAGATAACCTACATGCAACGCATTTTTAAAAAGGGACGACAGTTAACCCACAAGTACGATCATACTTTATTAATTTCTATATTTTATTTTTATTTTTATTTTTTTTTGGTTAATGGACCAATATCTTTTCATCATGTTCGCCATTTTGAAATCAGAACAAAAAGATAGATAGATAGAGATTATCATTTCTTTTAATAGCCTTTCGAATTCAGAGTAACAAATCTTTAAATTCTTAAAAGCATCAACAAAAATAAGACCTAAATGTATTTTGTTTTCATTCTCAGCAAAATAAGGTACATTTCTTTTTTCTTTTATATATTTCTTTCTTTCTGTTATGTAAGTTTTTATGCGTCAAATTCCAAATGAGCTTCATTCTTTTTTTTTAACAATAACGGGACCAAATTTTTAAAATCAAAATAAAAGAGAATTAAGCTTATTGGATAATACGTACAAAAAGATTCATTGGTGCTGAATTACAAATATATATAAAAAATACTTAACAACACTACATAATCTACAGTCGGTCAAAACGAAATACTTACATCATCACCCTTTTAAAATATTTTATTTGCTACTGACCAATCAATAAAGTTACCCACCAAAGTTTTACCTTCAATAAAATACGCCCTTTGAAGAGAGTGAATGCATTTAAGACGTAATTAACGTCAGCAAAAGCACATACGTTGTCGAATGCAATATTATATAGACTTACTGAAATACTTTGACATTGTTTACTATATACACTTACTGAAATTTTTAGACAGTGTTTATTATATAGACTTACTAAAATATTTAGACAGTTCTTATATGAAATGACTAAAATACTTAAACTTACTTAAACATTGCTTCAATATCTGTCTATATTTCTGAGATGAGGTATTATTTACATTATTTACATTATTCGGACTATTGTCCTCATCTTTGTCGCCATATTTATTACAACGTTTCGGCCGTTATACGTTCCGGCCTTCTTCAGTTCTCAAGGACACATGGCACATTGGATACAGGCGTTGGTTAGATCCAGTGACAGGACCCAAAGAGTGTGAGTTCAATAACCGGTTAAGGCAGTGGAGAACTTTCAGAGGGAAAATAAACAGATAACTGATAACTGACATCCATTAGACATGGCACGTGGAACTAGAACAGTCTACCCCAGTGAGCGAAATAAAGGGTTCAGTTTGACATTCCAACCACCGGAAGAAGGCCGGAGCGTACAACGGCCGAAACGTTGTAATAAATATGGCGACAAAGATGAGAACAATAGTCTGAATAATGTAAATAATAAACATTGCTTCTTACATACACTTACTGAAATATTTGGAGAGACATAGCTCATTATATACACGTACAGAAACATTTAGACAGTGGCTCACAGTACTTCAATCGCAATAATCGTTTATCATTTCTTTATTAATATAATTTAATATAATTTTTAATTGGCCCATTAATATCAACAGTCATTAGAATCCTTTAATTAATACCGGATTTTTTATAAACCTATAATTAGGTCATGTTTATTTTATAAACGTTTAATTAATACTGGATTTGTCGGTGGGTATTAATGTGTCAAAAAGAACGCTGTGATCAAAATATTATTAAATCAGTATTAAAACTAATATGCGAAAATATCGAAAATGACTTTATACATACATATATATATATATATATATATATATATATATGCAGGTTAAGACCTGCTTGTTAAATGAATTAGCTTAGTATTTTCCTAACCGCTATCAGCAGGGTCGCTGTTTGGCATCAGATAAAATCACCTTCTTAAGTGCGGATTTTCAAAGTCGGCACGTCCTTATAACTTAAAAGAAGGGCACAACAGCATGTTTCCCTTTACAATTTTTGACCCTCTAGTCAGCAACAATAAGTTTTTTGCTGGTGGGTAGTGGATAATTATGTACCAAAGACATGGACAAAAGAGGTGATAATTTTAAGCTAAAAACAAACTATTGTTACAATTGCAAAAGAAACATTTAAAATGATGAAATATTTGCAGAAAATCTTTATTGCAATATTATTTCATTTAATATAAACACAACTTATGGTAAATTTTATGAGTAATTCGTTGTATATCATGTTAGACACAAATGACTAATCCCAAAATTGAAAGCCCGATGTATATGTACTGATTTACAGTGGCATGTTTCCTCATCAAAATGCACATATTGCCTGAATCATATAGGTGAAAACATCAATTTAACTGTAAAAATAAACACTCACTTTTAT